TAAATGGCGATAGAGCATTAACTCACTCCTAATATATGGTTTGGTTTCTTGCTCCAAATCTTTTCACCAAAACTGGAAGTGGGGACCTCATTAGACTTTAATCGGATCCCACGGGAAACCACTACTAAAATTCTTGTTTTTAGCAATTAAGTATCAGCAACATAAAATTGCTTATTGGTGATATGAATTTTCACCAATGAGACCCATGTTCCTGATACTTAAATAGTACACATTTTAGCAAAAAGTGTTATTTACTTTTAGCAACATGTTTTTTGTTGCTGAAAATGAACCATGTTGCTGAAATTTTTTTGCTATTGTTCATGAATGAATGCTACACCAATTCCATAAAAAGTGTTCTTTACTTTTAGCAACATGGTTCTTATTGCTAAAAATGAATTTCAGCAACAAGAACCATGTTGCAGAAATTTGTTGGCTACTGTTCATGACCGGATGCTGCACTAATTCCATAAATTAATCAACAACATGGGAGCACATCGGTGATATGAATCAACAACATGGGAGCACATCGGTGATATGAATTTTCGTCGATAAGGTCCATGTTGCTGAAATTTTCTAGTTACTCTTCATGATCAGGTGCTGCAACAATTCCATAAATTAATTAGCAACGTGAGAGCATGTCAGTGATATGAATTTTCACCAACAAGACCCACGTTGCTGATACTTAAATAGTACACTTTCCCCCCAAAAAGTATTCTTCACTTTCAGCAACATGGTTCTTGTTGCTGAAAGTGAATTTCAGCAATAAGAACCACTTTGTTGAAATTTTCCAATGGACTAGGCCCCTGTTCATTGACTAGCAATTGCACCCATTCCATGGGAACTACCAGCATGAACTTCTAAAGCATTTATTAAGCAGAATCACAGAGCCTACATCTGTTACATACTAATTTAAGTAAGCTTCTCAAATAAAAAAATTAACTAAAGATGAGAATTCTGAATTGTCAATTCCCCAAAAACCCTTTTTTTTTTTTCAGGTCCCAAGCCTAAGATTCAGGTTAGCTTTCATTTGGATGAGGAAAAAAGTAGAATTTTAACTACAAAATACAATAGAAAATTTGAGGCCATGGCTTCAAAATTGCATGAGCTCCCTTTCCATCAAAATCCTCCCACCACATTAAGATGTTCATAAAAACATCCTGCAAATAACACAAAACTTTTAGACTCATTGGATTCACTAGCAGCAAATTGCATTCAAATAATGAGAGCAAATGAATATTCCTCAAAATTTCAGGTCACTTTTCTTTATTTGGAAGGTCAATCTCTAAAATATTTTATAATTATATGTGAAGTACTTTTGTAAACCCAAAAGGATGTCCACATTATTTTTTTAGATAAATTAGATATTTAAATCATTTAAGTAAAGAGTGAATAATATAATTACTTTAAGTAATGTGTTAAATGTTAAGTAATATTTAATAAAGTTAAAAATATCAACTAATAAATTAAATTTTAGAGATAAAAATATAATTATATTAATTAATGAGTCAAGTGTTAAATAAAATTTAATATATTAAAGAAATTCAACTAATAGATTAAAATTTATATATACAAATTAATTTTTTGAAAATTACAAATTAATTAAAATATAATAATTTTAATCATTCTAAACTGTCAATGCATAATGGTAAGAGTTTTTGAGATTAATTGAACGTCTTTTGAAAGTTGAGGGACTGAATTTTAAGAAGAAAGGTCCTTGTTTGGGACCTAAATGAATGAATCTTAAGTTTTTGGATCTAAGTGATCATTGTACGAAATATACAGGACCAGATTTTTCAATTTTACCATTGAAGAAATTGCAAAAAGAGCTAGAAACCTGACACGGGTGAAGCATCGACACGTAATTCACAGTGTAATCCACAGTGTCGACACCATATGCTTAACGTCCAAAAAATCCTACTCTAAGTAAGAGTCGAATCTATAAAAATAGAGTTGACTCTTTGGTATTAAAGAGTCGAATCTATAAAAATAGAGTTGACTCTTTGGTATTAAAGAGTCGAATCTAAAATAATAAAATTGACTCTCAAGCCTTCAAAAATTGATTATAGATGATCAAAATTCGATTCCTAAATTTCAGAGAACTATGAATATCCTGTTACAAGTCAAAGT